TAAGGGTCGTATTCTAGAACTCTACTCAATGCTCAAGTCAGGATTTGAGTATGGTTTAAAGCACTCGAAATCATACTCAAGTCCCTGCCATTAGGGTCGTATTTCCAGTGCTTGTGTTTCCAGTGCAATCCTGACATGAGCATTGAGTAGAGTTCTAGAATACGACCCTAAGGTTCGTATTCCAGAACTGTACTCAATGCTCAAGTCAGGATTTGAGCAGACTTGTGTATGATTTCAAGCACTGGAAATACGACCCTAATGGCAGGGGCGTGAGTATGATTTCTAGTGCTTTGAATTATACTCAAGTCCTGACTTGAACATTGAGTAGAGTTCTAGAATACGACCCTTAGAGTGGCAAACTAGGGAATGATTCCGGTTTCACACACTTTCCGGTAACCGATTTCAATAAAACTTGGGAAATAGATGTAATACCACGAATATTTGAAGTCGGTTTTTTATTACAGTGAATTACACTAATATTTTAAGGTAAAAGATTGAAAGAAGCAAACCTTGCTGTAGTGACATCTGGAGCTATGATACTTTTGTTGATACCTTCTCTCATCTTGGTCAATCCCCAATTTCATCCATAAACGAAAATATTATTTTTTGTCTCGTGCAAACAAACAAATGAGATTTTAAATTGAACAAAATAGTGAAGTGAATAACAGTGAAATTTAAAGCAAAAATCACTTTATTGTCACTTCACTTTTTGTACGTTGGCCCCATCGACTGAACGTAGCTTCTGCCGTGCAAAACAAGAAGTCAATAACATAGTTTAAAATGATATAAAAAAATAAACGTTATAATAGAAATCAAACTGTGATTATTTTTTCTTTATTTTCATAACTGAAAAGAAAGTCCTATTTGTAAAACAATATGATTTAAGAAAATTATGATTTTGTGGAGAAAAACTTTTCTTCTAGAGGGAAAGAGAACTTGACAGCATGTCAAGTGTGACATTTAATTTTGATGGTGTCATGTCATATTCTACAGACTAACAAAGAGGATAACAATGTTAATTAGAAAAGAAGTTCATCTGAATAAATTTGTGTTGAATCGTCGATAGGTCAATGGTTGAATCCAAAAGATGGAACTCCAGAAGCAAACCGCTTTTCCCTCCGTTATGTGGATGAAGAAGAGGTAAACTTTTTTTTAAAGTACCAAGTGATGAGACAAACAAATCGTGTACCTGGTGGTAAGCGACACGTCTGTCCATAATAGTTGCAATGCCATTCAGAGCTTTAAATCCATTGACTTACAATTATATGGACGTCTGGTCCGCGCTAAAAAGTGTCCGCACTTGTAAGGCGCTAAAATCGTATACAGAGCGCGACACTCCGCTTTAGTCTTCATTTGTTCTACGGACAGCGCGATACTGCGATAACATAACAATTTAAATTTCGAATAGGTTGACTTGGGACATTTTTTTCGTGGTTTTTGTATTAGACCCGTCGTCCATTTATTTGTAAGTCAATGTTTAAATCGCAAAGATCTTAGAGACACTGCCTCTGCGCCCGGCACCCTGAGACATAAGTTTACAAGTCTTATGTATCTGTAATTTCACCAGCACCCGTATTCAAACCCAGAATGCAATAATGCTCACAGTACTACTTGGTGGCAGAAATAGGCCAAGTGGCAGTACTGGACGAACTCGTTCTTAAGGAAGTTCTTTAAAAAACTACAAAGACTTATTTGAACCGCTGCACTTCCTACCTAAATAACAGAAGCAAGTTCTATATACATAACACTAACATTGTTTATGTTTCTCTGTTCCGAACGTAGAGGGAGAATAGCTCTATTTCAATATTTATACAATTGACCCTTTGATTAACTCTATGGTAGTACACATTAAGTTAAAAAAGAATATTTACTATGTAAATAAAAAGTGTACGTGCAGTAAGAATATTAATAATATTTCTAGAAGCTTCTGCAATCAATAGGTACCTTCTCGGTAGAAGTGGCAGGTTGTTACCAAATAACCACAGCCGTTTATCACCGAACCATTTCTCCATACAGGACGCCACGTTGTTCCACAGTTTGAAATTCGAAGTCCACACACAAATTTTTTTAGTCTCTTCATTCGCGTTCCTGAACGAAAGAGTTTTTGACCATTTCCCGCCGAAATCGATGTCAAAATATCCGAAAAACACGCGAAAATAATTTAATTTTACTCAGAACGCAAACAAAATTTGATTTTGTTCGACAGAGATGTTTTCTTCCTGACAGCCGCAAAGCATGTAGTTGTAGTTGGATTAATATCGATCGTTGGTTTGTTTACAGTTTGTATCGCTCAGTATACATGACAACCGCGGTGGTAGGAAGTGTAGCGTAGTAGGTCGGATTCACATTTTCTTTACTATTCTATACATCTCATAATTATTACAAATAGAGTAGGATATATAAATAAATAGAAAGTAGGAAATATTAAGTAAATTCTAGATTTGAAAAATGTATTTGTCATTCGTTCGGGTTATGTAGTATATTTTTATGCTTAGTATATACAATAGCATTAGTAGGTTAACAGATTGTCGGTATAATTTTCCGCAAATATTATTGGATTGGTCGTAATAAAAGAATGTAAGTTTGAAACAATTGCTTTAATGTTATTATTAAGGTATAAAAATCTCTGACTATTCATGAATGTTTCGTATTTACTGTATGCACCATAAAACAATTTTAATTTTATATACTTCCTTAAGAATTAAAATCAATCTTATTGTAGGTACGTTTTAGAATAAAGTGATTTAACTTAGCTCAGTCTTTTAGTATTTATTTGAACATATAAAGTAAATATGTACGTACGGTGTTGGCTTTGATAGGATGTTTTTTAACAAAAATCCCCAAAAGTGTTTGTATTTTTTATATAGAAATATTTCAAATAAATCGTACTACTTAATTATAAATTAATATACCAATTTGCTGATAGCAAAATCTTAGAGAGTACAGATTTGGAGTAGGTACCAATCTCTGTACTTTATATTATATATTATTTTGTCATTTTTTTGGTTTCATTTCATTTTTCAGCCATTACATTATCCTATTGCAGGGCAAAAATATCCCTTCCCTTCTTTCACTTATCGCGATTTAACTCCGCTACAGGCCAAGATCTCATATGAGCATCTAGATCATAGGTTCAATAGTATCAAATCAATAGTTCATAGGATCAAACTTTTTGGATCACCGTCCACTTAGGTAAGATAAAAAATTTCAACGCAAAGGTAGTGGTGGCACTACCGCAAAAAATTATTCGAAACACGTATTTTTATATTAACTTGGCACAAGAAATCACAAGGAAAACATTTATTATAGTATGTAGCGTAGTTTATATAGATTATCTGTGAAAACTTGTAATTGGTCATCTATATTTATTTTTGTAACTATTTATATCTAGCTGTTAGTTTCCCTAAAAATGTAAAATAAAATAAAATATATAATTCAGGTTTTGTAGCGCCCTGGACAACATCAACGCCTCCAATTACTTCCGAGGCTCCTACCGCCCCTACCCCTAGGACTCTTTAGGGACCACTTTGGGAAACTATGATCTAGATCGTGACGCGATCTCCTTCTGGGTCTTTCACGTCTTCGCCTTGCGTTAGCTGGGGTCTACTCCGTTATGGACTTTGCCTACAGCTCGCTTGAAATGCGGTAGACGTATTTCAGCCGGCCCAGTTCCATTTCAGGCTAGCGGCATTGTAACCAACGCAGTCTGGCAGTAATTACTCCCAAGATATTATATTTTTGAAATTTTGCCTGTAAAAAATATGTTATTTACAAAGTAGATAAGTAATTAAAAAATAATTGAAAAAAAATTGTTACTTTTTTATCCCTATTTTTTTTTAATCATTCAACTATAATTTATACGCTAATATTACTATGCATTACACTATTGTCAGAAAAAATAATTTACTTGACAATATATCGTTAAATACTTACAGTCATTGGACGATATTAACTCATATTAACTAATGAAATACTTTGCTAATAACGTCATCCCTATTTAGCAACTGCTTATAACCTACTGATAGCTAAATACAAAGTAAGCGATGAAAAGTGTTGTATACCTGTACTATTTATATACTAATCTAATGTTATTGTATGTTTTGTAGGGAACATAAACACCTGAAACATCACATGTTATTCACAATTTATACTGCTATTAGAATAAAAGCAACGCATTAAAATAAATGAGTGAGCGTTATGTTTTATTCCATGTAATTAGTCCAACTGCAAATCGATAATATACTTTGTTACTTTCTCTCAATACATTATTTTAAATGGCGCAAAAAAAAATACAATATAATGATTGTGCTGAAAGACAAGACTATCATCGCCATTACTTGAAATATAGATTACATAGTTGTTATAATTTTCATATTGCTAACAAATGAATATGGATGATTTAAACATTTTGTACTTGCAGCTCTACTGGCTCTACAATGAAATATTTTTTTAAAAACCGCGCCAGTTATAAATTGAAGTTTCCGGCTCATATGTTGCCAGTAAACAAAAATTTTTCAGTAATATTTAAAGATGGTACAAATAGGTTTGTCTCTTTCTTTTGTACGGTAAATGATGTATGTTTATATCGCTTTTCTCTCTTTTGCATTATTTCATTCATTCGTCGCGATACCATTCGTTCTTAAATGTCAATCTCGCGCCGCTGCAGGCTCGGTCTCATTCTGTCAAAATTATTCGCGTGAAGAGGTGTTCGTGTGCTTTATGCTCACCTTTGTTTGCCTTTTTCTCGATCAATGATCGTTGTTTTTGTTGTGAACTAGAGGCCGCATGTCGATAACGAAAACATATCGATCGCCGCTTACCCAAAATTATGTTTAAGCACGTGAAAAAACAGCTGTGAGCTTACCGGTGGACTTGTAAAATTGTGATGAAATTTTGGTACGTTTTCACCGTGCAAAATAGATCATATTGGCAAGGTCGTGATGGTTTGAGATAAGAATTTACGAATTTGTTTCTTGTGATTAAGTGGTAGAAAGTGTGGCGTTGAGATGGGGTCAACGGGGATCACTTTGGCGGATCTGCCGAATATTTTTATAATGATAGGCGCTCTGGTAGCGCTATTCATAATGCTAGTCATACTTCTGAGGTGAGTGTTTAATTAAACAAATGTTATCTTGCATTCTTTCAGCCATTGTTTCGTGTTAGCCGGCTAGTGTGAGCCTTTTTGGTTTATGTATGTCGTAATCAAATAATAACTGATATGAAAAATATATTTCTCATATTCGCTATGTATAGAATTCATATTCGTAAAGTATGTAATAAAAAAGTATGTTATATTTTTAAATTTTTAATTCAAAAATCGAAATATATTTTTCGATTTATAATTTACAAATCACCTTTGACAAGTAAATATTAGCGTTCTGGTTAGTGGCTACAGTGCTAACCGCCGAGCTTCCGACGTTGTTAAGTTATCGAGTAACCACATATTACTTTCTCCATTGACGATTTTATTTATGTGTAAAAAAGAAAAATCATAATCAAAGATCAGAATAAGCAGTACCTAAACTTCAAGTAACACATGTAGAGTGGATAATACCTCCCTTTAAAATCTCAAAAGATATATATTATTAGTTAATTAGAAGTGCGCATTTAGATGGATTTCCAGAATAGTGGGCTATCTCAAAAGCATCTAATTCATCAGGAAGATGGCTTTAAAAAGCTGAGAAGCTTATCTACCACGCAAGGTTGGCGAATTGTAGATCATCCCAATGTTATTATTCTACCCAATAATAACATTGGGATGATGATGATGAATAGCTTGGAATCTCATTCACAATACAATTTAGCATATTCTGAATAAATCTCGGTAATTTTAAATTTTAATTTATTAAAAAGGGTCAATTTCGAATTGGGTCACTATTTTTGATAACCAGCTATTTGTCCTTCTCATTCCTCATTTGTCCTTGTCCATCTCACCTGATGGAATGTAAATAAAATACAACAATTTCAGGAATTTCAGACAAAGTAGAAATAATAATAAGAAATAATATATAAGATAATATAGATAATAAGAAATCCACAATACATATGGACGGATCAACTATTTAATGTATAACAGTGTTTTTTTAAAAATCACAAAATGAACAATGTGTATTTAAAGGCCGGTTTTGAAGCTTGGTAATTGAATCAGATTGTTTATAATTACGACTGTTTATAGAAATGTTTAAAATTCCAAAATAATTAATTTAAAAAGTGTTGTGACCCAGTAGTCAAAACATAGATGTCATACAAATTCCATCAGTCCTCAAGGCATACAGCACAATGAAATGACGATGTTGTCTGAGGTTGTTCATCCACTTGTTTATATATGTAGTATCGGTAATGTGCTTTAATATACATGCATTCTAAATCTTGATTTGCGAGAGCTTTTATTTAGTTTTCAGTAAAAAAACACAGTTTGAATATTTGTTCTCTTTTTAACAACAAAGCGAATTGTCACCTGGGTCACAACAAAGATAGTACCAACTAAGTGAAAGTGAGATAGATTGTCTATAGCTAAGCCGATAGGAAATCGATCTACAAATCGTATGATCGAGCTTTACCAATCCTTAAGTTTATATGGATTCGGCCATTTAGCCCGTAACTCACAGCGTGTGTTTATTGTACGTCTCCGTAATTATAAATTTCGGTAAGTAACTAACTTTTTATACAAATTTTATTTTCATATTTGGATATTTAAGTCTGAAATACTTGACATGCATGTGTTACATTATTTTCATGAAAATTGTTGAAGAAAAATAATTAAAAATCATAGTGTCTCCTGACTGACGTCACGAAAACCGTGACTCATGAGACAATTTTGGTGACCCCAAGTGATTTTCTGTACTAAAGATTCCGTTATAAGTGAATACAAAACATAATTAACTAAAGAGCCATTCATAAATGAAAATCTAAACTTAGCAAATTGAAATTGTAATGGTGTTTTTGAAATTTGAGTTTATATACCGATGTATCAAAAATATACTTAAACTGAATCGGAACTTAAGATATTTTTAGTACTTATTTTAGTAGAAAGCTAGAGCTTCTGTTTAATGAACGTGTCTCAAGCACAAATTCATTATACATTTTTAAAGCAATTGTTTTTTTATTTACAAACAAATTTAAATCAGTTTGCTTACGATTTTTTAATACTAGCATTATATAACCTAACTACATAAAATTAATTTATTGCAGTTACCATGCCATTATCACAGCTGAGAGGCAAATACGATATAAGGAAAATATTAAAAAGGTCCCTGTAAAATATGAGGAATATAAAAGAACACCAAGTATGATTTAATTAGGTTATTGTTTCTTTTTCCATGATTACTCTAGCTATAGAACCAGCGGCTGATTGTTATATTTTTTATAAGCTTAATTGTCCAACAAATCGACTTTACGTATGTCGTACATATAATTGTGTCTCTGATTCACCTGATATGTCTTCGGGCTCACAAATTGTCCCCATTTTGTGTGATATTTTTTTGTGCAATTTTAATTTAACTAAAAAGTTATAGAACAAAATTTTGTACATAAAAACCTTAAAGAATGACGGTCGGTAGTTACATATTAAGTGCATATTTTTTGTGTTTCTAGGAACAGAGTTATAAGAAAAGTTTTCCAGTTCATTTTACTCTGCGACTCCGGAGACACAATGTGATCTATTTTTAAAAGAATGAGGCTGTTTTTTTTAGTTATGATAGCGCCATATTGATTCATTAATATACTTATTGATATTTGGGTACAGTGATTGATTAGAAAGTTGGTTTTATTTTTGTCATAACTTATATATGTTAGGTAGGGGAAATAGAAATGGAAATAGAAATAGAAATTATTTATTCAATGTAAAGCACAGCCCACTACAATTTACAAACAAAACAAAAACATAAAAAATAGAAGAAAGAAAGATAAGGGAGACAGGATGTGTGCTGTGCAGCCACTGAATCCGTCATCCACTCAGCTATTGCCGTCTCACATCAGGACATTATAAAGTGTCATTTCTGAAATAAAGGCATAAAACTACTGGAAAAACTCAACGAAGTTCGATGCTCGTTATAGATTTTTAAACTACAGAAGATTATTTAGCAATATTAGGCGAAGATTGAGCAAAATAACAGAATTTGTTTTTTTACACAAAAAGTTGATTCAGTACAGAAAATAGTTGATCCACCCATATACTTCTTACTTTCGTAAAGGTATAGGTAATTGTGTTTCTAATATTCCTCTGCTCAGCTTGCAATTTGATCTGTTTTATGATCAAATTACAGGCTGCAATGATATTGTGTTGCAATAATGCCAAACTACACTTTTAATTTGTATACCACAGTTCCTTTAACAGGCTGACGTAAGGCAGAAAGTAGATATATAAAATGTTTATTGACTTTACACACAACACACACAACAATATAATACAGTACATGGATTAAAAGAGAAACAGAAATCAAAATTAAAGAGAATTAAATAAAAACAAACAGCAAAAGATAATATAATTATACAAAAAAAACATAATACTAACCTAATTATCAACAGTTTGTGTGTTCTGCCGCAAGCCAAATAGGTCTTTACTCAGTGGAAAATTTGCCCAAAAACAAAGCATCGATTTTCAGCACGAGTACTGTGTATCTTACGGCCGAATACTGAAACGTCACTCAAATACAATACTCATGTAAGGAGCTTGTAAATCTGAGCCCCTCCCAAATTAAAGTGGCATACACGAAGGCTACTCAAACGATTTCAAGGCATGATCACGTAAGCAGGACATAAATAATTTATTCTATGGTAACACCAGGCAATATATACGACACCACATTTTACGCAACATTGTTTGAGTATAAAAATATTAATACTATATGATTTGGTATCATAATTTGCTGAAATTATATAAAATGAAAATTCATCTGTATTGTGCACAACTTTATTAATTATTTACAATGTTATAATATTTAATATTAAAAATATCACGAAAATTTGCGTAAACAATGACGACTAATTGACGTAGAATGGAACGTTCAGTGACATTCGAGTACGACTTTTTTTTTACTTTTCAAACTTTACTTTCTTGACAACGCGCGAGTATCGAAGTTTTACAAAAATCTTTTCTCTTTATATTAGTGTAGACAAATTACATACATAGTGCATAATGGACAAAAAAAAGAAACGTGGGTGTAATTACACTATGGCGGAGAAAAATACTGTTCTACAACTTGTAAAAAAGTGAGTACTTACCTATAATAGATAAACAATAATACTACAACTACGGGCAACTTAATTTTAATGGTTGTTAAACTGAATACTTACTTTTACATGGGTACACCCACCCACCAGGCCCTATACCCTCCGCTGACCCTCGGATCTGATGACTCATTATTGTAAATACAAGCACTACAATCACCAAGAGAAACCAGTTCCGATACCCATGTAAAAGATTTGAATTTCCGAATAGTAACGCCTGATACAATCTTAAATATGAACACTTACTTTTAGATATCAGAACATTATAGAAAATAAAGAAACTAATGGCAGTATCATAACAAAGAAGAGGGAAGCTTGGGATTCCATTTGCCAACAGTACAACGCTATTGCTGCAAGTGGGATCAGGACGTGGCAACAACTCCGCCACCTCTATGAGAACCTAAAACAGCGTTCAAAAAAGAACATTGCCAAAGAAAATGTATGTCTCCAATACAACAATTTTACTATACATTTTTATTAATATAATTATTATATCTGAAATAAAATTACCTATCTTACTTTTTAGAGACTTCACTTCTATGAATTAACGAAAGATGTCAAGATAAAAGCATCAGTGGATAAGGTAATTTGAGCATAGATGTACCTATGTACTAATAAATTAGAGACTACATAAATCATCCACGTATCAAATTCATTTTTGCAGAAAGAAATTAGTCGTACTGGCGGTGGCTCTTATAAAACCAGCCTTACTGATCATGATGCACAAATATTAGCAATGGTGGCTCCTCAAATACAACCATTATCAAATCCCTATGATGATGCTGCACTGTATTTTGGTTAATCATGTTCTTTATATTTTTATGCTTTAATTATTCGACTAGGTTAATAAAAGGTATTACTTCTATTTCTTTTAGGTGATACAAACAGCAATAATGAAAAAAGTACTGAAATTGAAGTATCTTGTGATGTGATAGAGAGTAAGTATGGACCTATATTCTTTGAATATAATATTCAATAAAACTATCTGTTAATATATAAGGGGTTGACTAATATCTTGGGATCCATAGTGAACCTCATCTGCCTGTGATGCATCCTGCTAAGGGTGTGACCTCTATTAATGTATTTTAATGATAAATTAATTTCATTCTTATTATTTCATTCAAGACTATCAAGCTGCAACAATTGAAGTAATAGATATAGCAGAAAACAGTGAGCCATGCACAGTGACATCTCATTCAGCTGGTAAAATTTCACAATTCACTTTTTAAATAATGTCATACTCTATTGCATTTCATTAACCTGCCTTATTTTATTATAGATAGCCAGGCAGAAGTCATAATGACCACAAATACCACCCGCAATGATATGCATGCTCCATCTCCCACGAAATCAACTGGTAATACAATAATCCAATTAATATTACTTTTCCTAGCTAGGTTATAAAAAATGTTTTTTAATTGGTGCCTTTGTTTTTTTTTTTCAGAAAAAGTGAAAACTAAACCTAAATCATGTATCAAGGAGCAATATTTTAAGGCCAAGCTACGAAATGCAAAATTAGAATATAAGTATTTAATTAACAAGAATAAGATGGAGGTAAATAAATATAAAATGGAAATGCAAATTTTAAAATTAAGGTTTAAGAAATTGCAATCTTCAAAATAATTTTTAAAAATGATGTACCTAACTAGAGTTTTAAATAAGGATTAGAAATAAATAACAATGTTAAGTTTAATTAGAAAAATGTGTATTAATTATCATTGACCTTACAACAAAATTTTGATTGATATTATGTCCTGGTTCTGGCATGACCTCTTGCTCTTCCTCCACATTAGATAAAACATCCTCCTGTACAAGATCTTGTTGAGAGATTGCAATATTATGCAACACTGCACATGCCACAATGACAGGAGGAATGTTGCGTATGTTAAGGCCCATCCCATTCTGCAGACAAGGAAATCTTCTCTTCAGTACACCAAAAAGCCTTTCTACTGGATTTCTACTGCTGATTTGTGCTTTATTATATTCTTCTTCGGCAGACGTCATCGGGTTTAAGAGGGGAGTGAGTAAATAGGGCTGACATGGATATCCACTATCTCCTAGTATCACCATGTTCCCAAAATCTCCCCGCTCGAGTTGGGCACATAATGGGGAATCATAAAAAATAGTACTATCATGTACAGAGCCCGGCCACCTTGCAACTATATTCCTGATGCGTAGTTGTGCATCACACACCATTTGTACATTCAAAGAGAAATATCCTTTTCTGTTGCGATATAATTCTGATTGAGCTCCCCCTGTAATAGACAAAACATACATATTATAATTACACCTTTATCACTTATGGGTGCGGCAGAGCAACAAGGGCCTTTAGAAGCACATGGAGGCACTTCCGACCAATTTTGAGGGTATAGTTGAGGTTACAAGTTTGGTTAGTAATGACAGGTGGTCAGCCCATCACCTACAAAACACCAAGACCCTCTTGTCCCTCAACTGACTTGTACAGTATGCTTGGGAAGAGTTTGTTAGTATTGTATGTTTTTTTTCACTCGAAGAACTGCATAGAAGACAAACAATCAATATACATTTAAAAAATTTACTATGGGTAAAAGCTTTTCCCAAAACTGGGAGAAAATGTTACAATGATACATACCTGGAGAATTAATTTTTATATGTGTGCAGTCCACGGCTCCCACCACTCTTGGGAAATTTGCAATAGCATAAAATTTACTTGCAACATCAGCAAATTCTGTCGTTGTTGGCATATTTATGTACATTGCTTTAAGGTTAGCTATTTGGGCTGTAACCTTGTGCACAATTCGGTGGACAGTTGGTTGTTCAACGTTAAATATGTCGCCTATTACGCGTTGGTAACTGCCTGTTGCATAAAACCGTAGAGCTATAAGAATTTGGTCCACTGCTTGTATCGCTCTATTTCTTTTTGTTAGCGGTTTAATATTGTCACCAAATAATGATTCTAAATAAAACACTGTCGATTTGGACACACGGAACCGCGCACGAAACTCCACATCATCATATTTATTGAATGCATCTAATTTTACTGCATTACGTCGACTCGCCGTAGGTCTTTCATCATCGGAAAGAGAAGATAACGACGATAAGGACATTATTTTAATGTTTGAATAATCTTTTTGAAAACACAATCACAGATTTAGGAGACCTCTCGACCGCTCTTAAATGTAAGAATTGCTTATGTCAGTTTGACAGCTCATTTGACAGTTGAGTGGCCTTTCAGTATACGATATTTACACTGCGTGGCGTCTGAGCCCAACTCAATCTTAGTCCCGCTTAAATTTAATACATGCATAATGATCGACGTTTGAGTATACGAATTTTGTAATTAAGACCTTCTTAAACGTTTAAGTAGCCGTTAGAAATTTGAGTGACGTTTGAGTATTCGGCCGTTAGGGTCGTATTCCAGAACTCTACTCAATGCTCAAGTCAGGATTTGAGTAGACTTGAGTATGATTTCAAGCACTGGAAATACGACCCTAATGGCAAGGACTTGAGTATGATTTTCAGTGCTCACTGCAATACTCAAATCCAAACTTGAGCATTGAGTAGAGTTCTGGAATACGACCCTAAGGCTTTTAAGTCCTGGAACTCGTACTTAACAATAATTACAGTTCATCTTTAATTGTAGCTGATGTTATATTGCACATTGACGTAATTTTTGAAGGTTGACCTACATAAAATGACCTAAAAAAAATTGTTAAGCTAATGCAAATATAGTCCCACAAAAACACATCATTATCCTATTTAAGAATTATTTATTTCCATATTTGACAATAGTGATAGTGTTGGAAAAAACATTAATTAGAAAACTTAAATCATATACAAAAGAGACCACACATAATGCAGAATATTAACTTTTAGATTTCCTTGTCATGTTTAAATAAAAATTAATGTCAAGTGCTTCCATCAACAATTTGATCAACATGATAAAATTTTTCCAACAAAAAATGTTTTTGAAAGATATAGGATCCTGTGCTAATTAAGTTCAGTAGGGAGGCTAAACATTTTTCTTGTTTGGTTCCTTGGACTATGTTTTACAATTTAACTTCGGTGTTATTACACCACATCTGTCTTTCCTCCTAGTAACAAGCCTCTTTCACTCAGTCTTCTTACGAAATTCAGATGAACATTGAGGACTTCCTCTCCTTCCCTTCCTTTCATAACAAACTAATTTTGGTCCCCTATACAAATGTCTGATTGATTTAATAGCCAAAATTGAAATCGTATTACAACTAGATCAAATTATTTTTTGATAAAGTTGTTTATTATTATCGTTTGCAATGTGGTTGACCTTTTTGCTACACTCGATAGGCCAACAGTAATATAAATTTATAAGTCATATAAAATATTCATTTCATAGAGGGTATTATTAGTAAATTTTATATTTATAGGTATAAGAATATATATTAGTTTACGATATTCATATATATGTATTGGTTTTACTACTTATTTATAAATATATGTTTATTTGAATTTATTTATCAATTTTTATCTGTTGATTAGTAATTCCTCATACACCGCAGTCTTTTTCCTGTGAATTTTACTTCCATCCAAAGGTTGTCTGGCAGAAATCGCGCTTTAAGCGATTTCTGATAAGACCGCCCATTGTACCACTGCTTATTTTTAATTTAATTGTATTGTATTTGTTTCCTTTTTTGGTGTACAATAAAGAATTTTGTATTGTATTGTATTATCACTAATTGCGGGTTTCTTACTTTGGTTTGAGTTTTTTTTTTGTTTTCTTGATATTTCCGAACGGTTACACGATCCATTGTCATGGGTTGTACAGCGGCAGATGACAGCTTTAAGAGCAGTCATATCTGTCGACCCCCTTTCGCTGTCGATGACTACCTTCACGTCGATTATTTGTGGCGTTACCATTGTCACATATTTTTTTCCGACAAACCACACTCACAGTATCCACACGCGAAACTGAAGTCGAAGTATTTTTGGTTGTTATAAGTAAGCACTAAGCACTGGGTTCCATGCACAATATAATAAGAAACCAGTATATAGTGATAATCATACATTTTATTATTAATAATGAATATGTTAAAAGGGCTAAGGACTATTTAATCCCAACCCAAATTGCCAACATAATTTAACGGTCTTCCATTACACTTAAAAAATATTAAGTGTAGCAAAAACTCTGTCAAAAATTAAATTATAAAAATATTTGTTAGATACGTTATAGGTACATATCGAAAACTGTATTTGGGTAACCAAATGATATGTTTATGTCACTGTAATATTAAGCGTGGAAACCAAACCCCCGGGATAAACTTTTATGAAGTTTGTAAGATCCTTATCTCTATCTACAGACATGTCATTGTAAGAATAAGTAAATAAAAAAAAAGAAAATAAACTGGAACACAGTGGTAATCAGTGACACAAACATATTATTTATGCATATATGTAAAACTCATATACATACGCTTTTTTTTCGGATAGTTGGTAAGAAATTATAATATATTATAGATTGATTACAAACCACATTCTCTCTTCAAATAGTTATTTCTTATTCCCTATTAAATAAATGATCGTGCAATATCTTAATGTTTTTATTTGCTCTGTTAAATATTTTTTTACATAAATCGGTCAGTTTGTGTCATAAACTTGTTGTTGGTACTTCATCAAAAACCAGTCTATCAGGATCTCTACAATTTCATGGACTGACATCAATCGTTTTTCTAGAGATGTTTTGATTTTCCTTGATAAACATATTTTAAATATATTAAGTTTAGTTATGGTAGAATTATTTATATTTTTGCAAACTTGACCTGTACTTAGCAGCTACCGCACCACATATTGCGTATTTCTTCTCTGCTATAAAAGTTCCATATTGAAATTTGGTGGTTTGTAGAAAGTGCGTAAGCGACATTTCGTAGATATTTCAGGAGAACATGTTTTAGATTTTAATGACTTGTTTTAAAATATTTATGTACAGTTTTTAAAGTATAATTTTGGTTTTAATTATGTTTTCAAATTTATTAAAATATTAATATTATTTAATAGCAGTAGAGATGATTGTCAAAGAGTTACTTATTTCTGCCGCCAAGCAGTAATATCCACATTACTGTATTTCGATTTTGAAGAGTAAGGGTGCTGGTGAAATTACAGGCACATGGGACTTGCCAACTTATGTCTCAGGGTGACGGGCGTAGTG